AACTACAGAACATATACTATGCAATCGTAAAGTATGAACTTCGTACTAGGCTAAAGTACCTAGTACAGGTTGAGCCAACACCTGCAGAAATAGAAAAATTAGCCCCACTAACTTTAACTAAAAATCACTAATTTTATTTAAAGTGTAGGGATTATGGGCTAATATCAGATGTGGGGTTGCTCACAAAAGATCTTTATAAGTCGCAGTGATGTTTAAGCTGAAGAGTTAATCGACCCTCTACAATCTACTATGGCTTGTTGTTATCACCCTTAGAATTTGTCTCCCGTTACACTCCTAGCCAAGTCCTCAAAGGATTGTTGGCTCTTCATCTGGACTGGGATGATCTATGCCCACCAGATATAGTTTAACGTGGAACTACTTTAAAATTGGATTACCCAAGTTGCTTGTCACATAGGTGTTCAATTTAATCAGTCAATAGTTTTAGTAAGTTTTGCAGATGCCTATCAAAATTCATACAGTCCCGTTGTGTATCTTCGAAGTATAGATACTAGTGGAACCGTTCATACCCATCTTCTTTGTGCCAAAACGAAGATTTCTCCAATGAAAGTCGTATCAATTTCTAGATCAGAGCTGTGTGCGGCTCATCTATTAACTAAACTTCTACGGCTCATAGCTGACTGTTATCAATCTCTTCATTAGTTGTAGCTACTAAGAATATCACAAATAATGCTTTTCATACCTTCATACTGTTTCAATTCAAAATGGATAAAATTAGTTAGGTCCGTTGTTTATGTTCTCAGGTTGGTAAAAATTTTGCCGATCTATTTTTTTGAAGCCTTTATTTTTACGTGGGCGAGATTTAGCTGTTAGCTACTCTACCATCTAACCCACAGAGAGAGCTGAGCCAGTAAAAACACTCATTTATATGTATAATTTAACCTATACAATTATTCCGGGACCACCATTTTTTTAGAATCTTCTTGCATTTTTGAAAATATATTTGCAACCACCAAATTTTAAATGAGCTGCCATAGTATATTTGAACACATGCCTAACTACTATTCAAGTACCCTCTCTTATAATATCATTGTAACGAGGGTAAACGCGATGGAAGTATGGTGCTACCCCCGTAAATCCACGGTATTCCGTGGAAGTACTATAAAAAGTGGAAGTTTAGTGTATAAATTTTGGCTGCGGTTTACCCTTTGTATGCAACAGAATTTAAAAATAAGTAAAGTATTTGTTCGTTAATTGCAAACTAATTATTTTGTGAATTATTTTTTAATGTGATTTTTTTTTATTTATGACCAAAAAATCGGTAGCAGTTGTTAAAAGGGATGGTGTATTTTATAAGAATCCGTAATTTTTTGTTTTTTTTTTCTAACAGTGTTATCAATAAATCGTAAGACTTATTTTAAATATTTTTGCTGAAAACATCCAAGTTCCCCTAAAACATGCGGTTTGTTAGAAAATGACCACCCCTAAAATGTGACGTTTATTAGTTTAAACTTGGTTAATTCGAACTAACTGGTACATGCATACGTTGGTAACTGTTAGATATTGGTAACCATGACAAACCGTTACTGTGACAATCCAATTTCCCTAACATTTCTGATAAATAGAACCGGAGCCAAATAATATGCTATTTTAAGCAGGGTACGCATATGAGCATGAACGCGAATGAGGCAACCCGAGGACGCACGAGCATACGTATGTGTGCGTCTGAACGAGGCGTGCTAATTTGTTTGAATTCGGCCTCGACCCGATCCGTTTCTTGGCGGTACATCAAAGGGAGGCACGTGCTCAGTGCGTGCAGTCTGGACGGAAACAAAAAATTCACGTCAAGGCGGTCTACTCTGTAGTGCACGGAAAAGATTCTACAGGGTGTCTCGCTTAAAGTGGAACAGTCGTGTAACTTTTTTATTAATGAACCGATTTGAAAAAACTTTTTAGAAATGTAGGGCGAGAAAATCTTTACCACTGGGCTATATCACTTGTTTCCTACATCGCCTTAAACACCCCTTACGACTCGGTTTTGTGGGCCAAAATCCAATAAATCATATCAGCGATTTTTTTTTTCGCCATTCTGATTACGTAGTCTTTTTCAGCACTCCTGAAACCTATTTCCACAATTTTCAGTAAAATCTTCGGTTTCAGTTTGCTTTTGTTTTTTGCTGTCTCGCTAAAAGTGGAACAGTCGTGCTAACTTTTTTATTAATGAACCGATTTGAAAAACCATTTTAGAAATGTAGGGCGAGAAAATCTCTACCATAGGGCTATATCACTTGTTTCCTACATCCTTAAACACGGCCCCCTACGACCGGTTTTGTGGGCCAAAATCCAATAAATCATATCAGCGATTTTTTTTTCGCTATTCTGATTACGTTAATTCTGATAATTCTGATTCTGATAAAGACCGATTTTGTTAAAAATTGTGGAAATGGGGTTTTGCTGATATGATTTATATAGTTTATTGGATTGTGACCCACAAAACCGGTCCAAAGGGTCCGTGTTTAGGGTTAAAATGGAGGTGATATAGCCCAGTGGTCAAATTTCTTTCGCGCTCTAAAATTTTCCCGATTACTAAAAAAGTTTTCCAATTAATACACAAGCAAAAAAAAAAAACAAAAAACCGAAATTTTACTGAAAATTGTGGAAATAGGGTCTCCGAGAGAAAAAAACTATGTAGTCAAGAATGGCTGAAAAAAAATCGCTGATGATGTTTGGATTTTGGCCCACAAAACCGGTCGGCGTGTTTGGGATGTAGGAAACAAGTGATATAGCCCAGTGGTAGAGAATTTCTCGCCCTACATTTCTAAAAAATATTTTTCAATGGTTCATTAATAAAAAAGTTACGCGACTGTTCCACTTTAAAAGCGAGACACCCTGTATGTGTAATTTGATTGTTGTTAAACTTGAAAATCATAATAATAATGGAATGGTCTCAGAATTTAGTGTTACTGCTCCTTGATGAATATCAAAAGAGGGAGATATTATGGAAACCAAGGCACCCGTTGATTTACAATAATGCTCGCCACATTCTATGGATCGATGCCGTTCAAGCGCTTTGTGCGTCCACTATTCAGGAACCAGAACTTCCGTATCTGAGGCAAATGATTCGTCCTCGGGTTGCCTCATTCGCGTTCGTGCTCATATGCATACCCTCCATTACACTTTCAATTAAAATGGTATTAATAAAAAGAACCTAAAACCCCCATTCTTTACTGAATCATTTGATGTTCCATAGCCTCAAAGAAAATAATTACCACTGATTCTTTGTAAAAACATCAAAAGCTTGTCAAATCTAGGTTAGCCGGTCAAGTTTACTTGTGCATGAAGTTTTTGAAGAGAGTTGATTTTATCTAGGACTCTAGTCTCTGTAGTAGGAGTAAAAGTGTATTAACACTCAACAGTCTCTTTCTTCCGGATCTGCACATTTGACTGGTCAATCTAAATTTGACAAGCTTTAATAGCGTTATTAATTATATTTTCTCACCTAACATTTCTGTTTTAAGTTTTCATTTCTTTCTGCAATCTTTGGTGGCAATCTATACTGTGCTTGTAGGGCATCTTTATTTCCAGGGTCAAAAGTTAAAATTTTCTTGTAATCCTGACAACTCTCTTCCAATTTTTCTGTTTCTTCATACAATTTTGCTCTTCTAAAATAAGCCTTTAAGTATTTATCATTAAGTTCTACTGCTTTAGTGCAATCGTCAATGGCACTTTCTTTTCTTCCTAACCTCACTTTTGATGCAGCTCTATTTGCATATAAGATAGATCTATCATTTTTATATTTTAATGACATAATTTTAGAGCTTTGGTGTATGTATTTATAGACTGTAAATATTTTTCGTTTTTTGAATTCATCATTTCCAATCTCTTTTAGTTCTAAGGCTTCTTTGTAATGTGTTTCTCTCTCCGTATCTGTAAGATGGCTTTCCAAATGTTTAAGTCTATCTTCATCGATCCAATCGTCTACTGAATCATATTTTGACAACTTTGTTATATTATCATCTTCAAAATCTTTTGGCATATCTGAATTTTGTCACATTTTCCCTATTTCTGCAGCAGTGTCTCCTGATCTAATTTCGCTATCAGAATTTATCGTTAAATCACTTATCTCTTTACTGTCGAGAAATTGTGCACTACTACTTATTTCAGACATTTTACAATAACGGCAGTGGCCTGGTACGGTTCAACAATCAACAACAGAATCACAGGAATATGTCTAGCAATTGTAATTATTGTTATTAAATTGTTTGCAAAAGAATCTGGTCGGCGGCCATAGAAAAATTATCACAACATTCACAACCATAGAAAAGATATCACTAACGTAGAATGAAATGTCCCTAACAGTTGGCTGAACCCGTACCATCAGCGCCTCCACGTGGTTGGAAGCGTCGGCTGCTCCTTTAGTATAGGCAACCTCATAAACAACCTACACACCAACATCGTAGCGCCATCTAGCGGCCATATTTAAATATATTGTGGTAGCCCCTAAACCAGCTCTAGAAGTTTTTTTTGTGACGATTGAAAATATTTCAAGCATATCATATTTACATATCGTCATTGGATCAAAACCAAACTGTAGGATAAAATTACTATGGCCGTTTTGTAAAAACGTATTTATTATGAAATCATAGCTAGATTCAAATCCTTAAGATTGGTTTGAGTACAATGGTTCAATATAAAAATATTATATACCTGAAACATTACCATCGCCAGTATTTAAATTCTAAATTCACTTTGCCTATATCGAAAAAAGTATTGAGCCCCAAAAGATTTTTTTAAGAATATGCAGAAAGAAATGCACATGAAATTTAAAATAATAAGTTTTTTTTAAAAACATATTTTTTTTTGTTTATATTAAGCTACAACACAGTTTAATTTTAACGAGATCTTGATGGTTATGACTGTAAAATGAATCAAAGTAACATTAATAATTATAGCATAAACTGTAACTATAGAAATGAATGACAGCAGCTAATAAATAATGAAACACACTTCTGACCTATGCCTATGACAAACACCATTAATCAGGTTGGTAGCCGAGCGGTTAAAGCGATAGTTTATTAATCGTTCGTACTTAGCTAAGGTGGGTTCAATCCCCACCAACGGCAAGCAATTTTTCATTAAAAATTGTCCCGTATAGTATACGTCGTTTAGATTCGACTATAAACTGTCGGTCCCCGTCTCCTTTGCTCACACAGGTTTCGGCCTCAGGGAATTACATCAGTAACGTGGAAGGCGGTAATAAACACATTTTTTTTAAAACCATTACTAGAATTCTAAATTGGCCTAAGAGAAAATGTATCATTATTATAAAAAAACAAAACACATTTTTAGAAATATTTTTTATCATCATGCAGTATTTTAATTACGTAGTCTATTACTAAGCAGTACTACTGGATACAGGCTGAAGCATTCTGATATTAAATAATTTACAATAACTATATTATAGCTTTAATAGCACTTTTATTGATACTTCTTATGTATTTTTTCTTTTTCTTAAATATCTTTAGCTTATTTCCATAAAATGCATCTATCCGGTTACGTTCATCTTTCCCTGTAGTGGAGTAAAAAAGCCTATAAAGTCGCTTCTTTCTCGAAAAAAAAAAATCGACTTAGAACCAGATGAAACCTTACCCAAATCATTAGTTTGGTTATTGTACATACGAAATGGGCAATTACGACTTTTTTTAGTGGTACCGAGTTTTTTAAAATCGAAAAATCTTTAAAAAATGGGCTATTTCAAAAAACACACTTTTAAACATTAAACTTCCAATAACTCCGAAAGTATTTAACATATCCGAAAGATCTTTTTTTTTTGCTTAAAGGGCATACATAAGCGCTGATAACTGCGATTAAATAGTTTCCAAAAACTTTTAGTTTCGTTAGGTAAAAATATTCCAAAAAAAATTTTTTTATTTTTTGTATTGAAATTTTCTGTGAGCGAGAAACTTTTTTATTTTGAATTTTTTTATCATATATGCTGCGAAGAAATTGTAGAAAAAAATAATGAGGAAGTTTTTAAAAAAAACCGCAGCTTTCTATCGATGATAGTTTTTGAAATACGAATTTTTTAAGTGACGCCTCGAAAGAAACTGCCGCGCATTGAGGCCGCCGCACAGTGGGGCAAAAGGCCGAAAAGCTGGCCAAAACTATTAAAAATGAACCAATTATTTCGAAACTTGGTATCCAGGGGTTTTTTGGGTTGCTGATTACGAATATGAGGTCCATTTTTTCAAAAACAAAATGGCAGCTTCAAAATGGCGACCGGAAATAGTAAAATTTACTCCGATTATGATGAAATTTGTTATCTGGGGGTTTTTTGAGTTGCTGATTACGAATCTGAGATCTATTTTTTTCAAAAAAAATGGCGTATCCAAAATGGCGACCGGAAGTAGTAAAATGAACTCTAATTATTATGAAATTTCTTATCCGGCTATTTTGTGGGTCGCTGAGGTCAATTTTTTCTAAAACAAAATAGCGACCCGAAATAGTAAAATTTACTCTTGATTATGATGAAATTTGTTATCTCGGGGTTTTTTGAGTTGCTGATTACGAATCTGGAAAACCTATGCCATTTCCAGGGTCGGCGATGGTCGCAGCTAAATTTTACATAATATACGCAAAAATGATTAAGAAACAAGTCTGAATGTGTCTCAAAGTGGGAACTAGCGAGAATTTTTTTAGCAGGCTTATTTAACAAAAGTCTTTTCATAATAGTTTATTAAATAGCAATGTTTAAACATTCATAAAAAACAACAGTTTAACAGATAATAAATATTGTTCATTAAACTTCATTCTTCTGACCTTGCTGAGGAGGCTCCATTTCGTAGAAAGCTATTATCTTTTACTTCGACGAAGTACCTAATTCACACCAGGGCTGCAATTCTCGAACTTTTTCGTATACGGATATGTAGTCCTATTCCTCTCTTGCTTATGGGTTTCTTCTATTTGTATCTGCGTCTTTTCGTATACGGATGCTATTCGTATGGTTCAAGAATTGCAGCCCTGAAAGACAACTTCTTGAGCGCTCGGAAACAAGCGTATACACTTGCTGCAACGGCCGCCATCAAAGTGATGCTACGAAGGAAGGATGAAAGCTGGGCTACTCTTAACCTATTTTCTGTGTGGCAGGGGTCCCCTACTAGTAATTTATCACGTAAAAAGTCCCTAAATCGAACATCGAGTTTTTGGGTTTTGGCCAGCTTTTCGGCCTTTTGCCCCACTGTCCGCATGTATGCATTTAAAGAATACTACAGCGGAGTAAATCGATGATTACTAGAGTCTACAAAACTCCATTCGTTGATTTTGGTTGATTGTTTTTAAATGCTCGGATATTATTTTTGGATATGTAGTGGCTATAGCAACGTTTATGATACTTGGCATCATAGGCAAATAAATCCTTATAACCACATATCCCTTTCCTGTGCTGCCTTAAGTATTTTTTCATGTGTATTTTTTCCGGTTCCTAGATAAAAAAGTAGATAGAAAACAACAAATTTATTGCCACAACTTAGACATTTTTGTAATCCTGTTAGTTTTTGAAATAAATAAAATTTGAAAGTGGCAATTAAAACTTTTTTTAGGTAAGAGGCGATTTTTTAAAAAAAAATCTTGGTACATATATAAAAGAATGTAGGCATACTATTTCACATTAGGTATGTGCATAATTACTATTACTTAACTTTTTTTCATGTACTTAGGTCTAACATACCTGTTTTTTCGAAGTTAATTTTTCTTTTATATCGCCTCTTTCTTTTTTAGAATCTTACGGCTAATGCTGTCATGTTTTTTCCCAGCAAAACTTATTATCATTCGTATCCCTTTTTGGGTTGTATTTTTCACCATGCAATCATCTTTATGAAATCGTTCACATAAGAGTCACTCCATTGTTATTAATATTATTATAGACTATTAAAATTAAATATACGCAGCGTTAAAACATCAACAAAAATCTCTTAAAAATTACAAATATAACCTCCAAATAGCACAATAAACAAGAAACGTCGCGTTTCGTCTAATAATAGTATATTATATACCTAGGTTGAGAAGTGAGCTATTATTTACCAAGAAATTTTATATCCTGCGGCGCGAAGCGCCAAAGGATATAATTTTCGAGGTAAATAATGGCCCTCTCAACCGAGGTATATACGAGATAGAGTATTTTTTTTACTACTAATAGCCAAACTAACACCAAAAGATCTTATTTTTATTTTAAAATTAGCCATTTTCCCTATTATTGAAACATATCGAAATATTAAGTAGCCTGGGGCTCGGTTATCAAGGCAATGAATAAAACAATTGAAACTGATGGGTTTCAATAAACGTCATTATTCTAAAATAATTCACCTTTGGAAGGTTTTAAGTATTCATTATCTTAGGACATTTCCTAGAGTTTATTTTTCATGTTCATTTTGTTAAATAAATAAAGTTCCAGTCAATTTCTTTATAAAGATAAAAAAAAATTATTAACCTAGGTAAATAATGAATTATCATTATTACCTAGGTTAATAATGAACTATTTTTCATTAGACAAATGAGGTAAATAATAAGGTTTTCTCATGTTAGCAGTAAAAAAATGTATTTTTCAGCCAGTATGCAGCATTGAGAGACGCGCCGCTACATAGTGTACGTTCGTGCGATTGCCATGCAACGGTTAGAAAATTCGTATTTCAAAAACTATCATCGATAGAAAGCTGCGGTTTTTTTTAAAAACTTCCTCATTATTTTTTCTACAATTCCTTCGCAGCATATATGATAAAAAAATTCAAAATAAAAAAAGTTTCTCGCTCACCGAAAATTTCAATACAAAAAATAAACATTTTTTTTTTGAAATATTTTTACTTAACGAAACTAAAAGTTTTTGGAAACTATTTAATCGCAATTATCAGCGCTTATGTATGCCCTTCAAGCAAAAAAAAGATCTTTCGGATATGTTAAATACTTTCGGAGTTATTGGAAGTTTAATGTTCAAAAGTGTGTTTTTTTGAAATAGCGCATTTGTGCAAGATTTTTCGATTTTACAAAACTCGGTACCACTAAAAAAAGTCGTAATTGCCCATTTCGTATGTACAATAACCAAACTAATGATTTGGGTAAGGTTTCATCTGGTTCTAAGCAAAAAAAAAAAATTGACACATTTTTACCCGTTATTTACTCCACTACTGTTATAACTTTATTTATCCCATTATAATAATTGAAAATTATTAGTTTTATAAAACACTGCAAAATATTGTTTTCAATGTTGTTGGAATGCTTGGAATAATATTAAAATTTATATGTTTTTCAATGACAATAAAAATACAGCTTATCTTAAGTGAGGTTTCCGAGACAGAATGAATTTCGTTATAAGTAGCAAGTAACTAAACAAATCCATCCGATTCATCTGCTTTTTTAATGTTATACTTACAAGCTACACAGTTCAATAACTATACCTTTATTTTGATGATAAACTCTGCAACATATAACAATGCAGCTCTTTGGAATATAACACTGGTCCTTCATCTGTAATATATGGCTTGTCGATACATTCTCTTAGTCTTTGGTATTAGCTCAGTACTTTTAAAAAAGCCGATACCATGTAATAATCAAGGTTCTACAAATAAGATAAATTAAAAAAAAAATTGTTTCACATTATGTTACTGGATACTTGATGTGCAACAATCTTATTAACATATTTTTTTGTTCCACTACAATAACGTACAACTACTTTCTTATTTTCATATTAATTGTAATAATCATATTATTATATCACTACGATAAGTGATGCGATCTTAAGTGGGTCACACTGTATCTTTCTTGCAAACATGAATTAAAAAAGATATAAACCATTTGGTTAAAATAGAATTTATAAGACAGAAAATAGAATCTATAAGACTATGATGGCATGGATAATGTAATGAGGCAAGTATGGTAATCTTAGTCTGTAGTACGTACCTATACTCGCATACAGTTTTGTGATCAAGATCGAAGAAAAGCACCGGAAAACAATTAAACTATATGCATACTAGGGGCATATGTTTACTAGATGTAGTTGGTAAGTAAAAAAGAAGTCGAAGGTGTACGCTGAGTGTTGGAGACATTTCCAACACCATGTAAAATATTTTTTAGT